TTGAAATCACAAAACAAAATAAAAATCCAACAAAACAACACCTGTTTCTAATAGATGACTTGGTTCGGACAACTGTGGCAGTACAGTATGCTGTTGATGCCCACTGAATACAATGGCAACCAATGCATTTCCTTAGGGAGAAAACTAGACATGATGTTTAACTCTGGTTCATGCCCCTAGCTCACCTGTCAAAGTCTTATTATTAAACCTGATGTGCTTAAAATATTACATTTCAAAATCCATGTGTCAGTAATGCGTATAATAATTTAAACAATCATTGTGGTTCTGCACAACCAGTCTATATAATTTGAATTTTTTTTCTATTTATTGTCATGTATGCACAACCCTCTTTTGTTTTATTTATGAAAATATATGCAATCAAGTAAAAGGAAAGTTGATTCTTTATCGTGCAGAAAGGTTAACTGGTCTCCTGTTTGCCTTGTTGTATTTAAGGAGGAGACCATAAAGGATTCATCAGGTCAGGAGGATGAGACACAGTCCTCTAATGATGACCCAGCACCATCTGTTGCTTCTCAAGATCCACAAGAGATAATTCGCCCACGTCGATGTAAATATTTTGATACAAGTATGTGCAGTCCAGTATTAAGCACCCTCTAAATACAATTGGCATATATTTATCACTGCTTATAAACACTTAAAAGATTTCTGTTCTCACTGTTATTCTTGATTTCTTAAGCTGCCTAAACGTTGGGGTTTTGTTGTTGTTGTTCAGTATATGGTATAGCATACCTCTTTTTACAATTGAGAGACTGCATGTTAGGCTTTTACATCAGTTTTTTAAAAGAAAAAATGATTAAATTTGATGCAAAACCTGAGTTTCTTTATAAATACATAATTAAATAAAAGAAAAACCTGTGGCTAATAGAAATACATTCAGCACTTTCTTAACCGTTTGAAGGAAAGCAGAGACTCTGCAAGACAGTCCACATGGGCTTTCTCTGCACCAGTGAAAGCTCCTTAGCATTCAGATGGGCTGAGTGACTTCAGTGGTCTGCCTGGCTGGACTAGGCAGCAGGATCAAGAGGATAGTTCTTTTACATAAACATTCCTTAATTGCATTTGTAATATAGTGGGTGCATCTACATGTGCATATTGATGCATTGCAATAAATTGCAGCACTTTTGCTCCCAAGTTTATTGCTCCCAGGCGCTACATTGACATGTGCACCCGGGACCGCAGCACATTGAGCCAGGTTGGAGCAGCCCTGGCTGGCAGGGGGCCCTGGAGACCAATTTAACAATCTGGGGCTGCTCTGACCTGGCTCAGTGTGCTGTGGAAGGGCTGGCTGGGGCATGAGGATGCTCCAGTGTCAGGCCAGCCAGCAGACAGCCTCCACACTGCCTTGTGCCCCAGCCAGCTGGATTAGCCTCTAGCATGCACACTGCTGTGGAGTTTATTAGTTTACTCCAGCCTAATAACCCTGGATGTGTAGATGCTGAGACATTTACTGCAGAACCAATTAGTCTACTCCACAGTAAACATCTGTTTAGACCCGCCCATACACTGCATTTCTCTTGTGCCTGTGGAGCTTCTGGTGGTCTCCTGAACAGGCTTACCTCTGTTATCAGCTGCTTAATTCACACTAAACAGGCAGATAAAATACATAAGTATTTTTTTATACATTCTGAAATTAAGCAGTCGCTATAATTGCAACACAGAGGCCAAGTACATAGTGGCCTGTGTTATGAAAATGTTTGAGAATACTTAATAGTTGTGAATGAAAATGATTCTGCTTAGAAGCAAAATAAAACAAATGGTTTTTCATTGGCTGCTCTACACAATGGAAAAATAAAGTGAAACACAAATAGATTATTTTCTTAACGAATTATCTCATGCTATAATAATTTAAGGCAGCGATACTAACACAGAGAGGGACTTTTAGTCTTAACTGGATCTAACTTGACGCTGTTGCTCATAATGTTACTGTGTTCTTCTCCACCCCCCATGCAGTCATCTCTCCATTTCTTAAGCTGTGGCTAACATTCGCTCATGCAACCATTTGGAGCTACTAATCTAGTATGATGTAACTCTCCTTTTAGACTCACTACTATCACAGTCCCACTTAAACTTGTCTCAAACCTGTAGTCAACAAATGTAGAGCATATCGTACTGTCATCCAGATCGTTTAACGAACAAATATTCTACTGAGCAATAATCTTTTCTATCAAAATGAAGTAAAATGTATTCCAAAATACTAAATTGCAGTTAAGGTTGCTTAAACAGCTATGTACTCTACTTGATTTATTTAATTAAAATTAGTTATTAACATCTATGTTAGTTGCTGTCTCATAGTTATTTATCTTTTGGATTTCTTTCTTGTATTTTGGTAGTATCTAGGATCCCAGGTATGGACATGTGCTGTTTAAATAGAAAGAAGAACAATCCCTGCTCTTAAGAACTTGCAACCTAAACAATCAGTCTCTATATGTTTGTATAATCCATGTGTCTTGTATTAGCTATAGTTCTTATTTTCACTGTTTATTTGTATTGTGCCAGCTGTGTTAAAATATGGAACATCTGGATGCCAGTGCCATCGTTAGACTCTGCAGCTGCTCCTGTTAAGTTGGGATAGGTCAACTTGTGCTGTTAAATGTGGAATAGGAAAATAAAAGCTTATGTTTGGGTTAAAAATTGATACAATGTTCACTTATTTGTATCTTAAAAACCTATATCCAACTTCATATCTTTCCTGTTAAAAATGTTTAAACAGGGATAAGAACATAAGCTGGAAGTTTCCTCTAAGGCTGTGAGTGCTGAAATATTTACTAGTGACTTTTAAACTGTAATTTAGAGTGGCTTTGAAATGTAGGTGTTGCTCTTCTGTTCTAAGGTGAGGGAAATTCTGTTAATATATATGTTAAATTCTGTTAATACATATTCTGTTAATATACTGTGTTGCTCTTTAGGAAGGGGATTGCAGCCATCCCTTTACCGAGACAGTGGTGGTTAGTTAAGCAACCACCACTCACGAGACATCCCAGCTCATGAGTCCAATAGCCAGCTGGAGTTTGCCTTGAATTGTCTGTGTCCAAGCCATATTCTGATGGACTAAAATGTAGCTTAGAACATGATTCATGCAAATATCTGATTTTTTTTTTTGTAGACAGTGAAATAGAAGAGGAATCTGAAGAAGATGAAGATTATATTCCCTCAGAAGACTGGAAAAAGGTAAATATTTAAGTTCTTGGAATTCAATCTGTGTTATATCAAATAGTATTTTCAAAAAGCAAGCATCTTATGAGCTGTTTAGGACAAGTACATATTCGTTCAGTGGAAGAGGACAGGAAATAAGCATTAATTCCTCCCAAGAAAAAGAATCATTTTTTTATGTGTCTCCAGAAGATGAAACACACCTAACTTGACAAGCCAGTGTTTTAGTTATTTTTAGCTTGTTTTTAACAAATAATTTCATAACCATTTTCCCTGAGGTTATCTACTAGTATCCAAGCAAAAGGCTTTGCTATCTCTTCATTATCTTATAAAGGTCTTGTGTCTTCCAGTTGGCCTGGTGATCAGGTGCTTCTCACTCCATTCAAAGACAACACCATTTTGCTTTGAAAACAGCTTCTTTTTTCGTTTTTTGTTCTGTTTTCTAGATTTCCCCCCCATCCTGGCTTCCGTGGCTAGGCCATTCCAGAAATAAATTGTTCAACACACACAGTCTGTACCTTTCTCTGACTCTTGGGCAAGTTTATTCTCTCGTCCTTTAAATGTATTTTTTGGCAGCACAGAATATGTTTAGAAGACAACATTCATCTAGAAATTGTTTAGAAGTTAGAGTGGAGTGGTGTTATGGTCCTATGAGTGTTGAGCAGGTGAGATTATTGTAACCTGTTCCAGCATAGGAGTTTTTTTATAAATAGGGAAGTAATTAAAGAGAGGAAAAAGCTGTGTTAATAACTTGTTTGTAGCTTCCTGAAAAGGTTTTTGTATTGAATTCTTTAAAAACTTACGTATGCTTTCCAAATTTGGATGAGAACTTGCTTAATTGCAGGATTACCCAATTTTTTGTTGTTAATTTTTTTTTTTTAGAGTTTCAAATGATTCTTCTAAAGGCACAAAGACACAGTTTTGGAGGACATAACATGATTTCATCAATCCCATTACTGTATATGGATATGTGCATACAAGAATTGGAGCTCATTCATCTTGTCAGCCAGCAAAGCGCTAATTGTACTGAGTATGATGTCTGACAAGCCACGATGGACTAATGTGGGAGGCACAAAATTAGAGAAAGCATTACCAGAATTATCCCTACTTCTCTCCAGCTAATTTGAAAGAGCAGAGGGGGAAATTAAGTGAGGTGGATTCTTTTCTTCTTTAAAAAGATAGCCTTTAACTTGGCAATTAGTAGTGGAGTAGAAGGCAGGAACAAAGTGCTTAGTATCCAGGATTCAAGGAGTTAGGGATTTTGGATTCATCAAGTTATGAAAAAGCCACAAAATATCTGTGGTGTGATATCCTCTAATATTTGTAATAGGGTCTTGTGGAGATCATTTTAATTTCTGCTATTCATAAGACGCAATGTCCCCTGCTGGTCTCCCACTGACCGGTGAAGTGCTTTTCCCTCAACCTCCTTCTTCACATCACCCAGCCTGAGTGCCACACATTGAATATACATAAGCCATGAGAATAATTATTGCGTTTCTCAGTGGTCTCTCTTGGTTTTGGGTTTAGCTGCACCTTTGTCCCCTCTCATATCTCTGAGCATATTCTTCAGGCCATGTTTTTCCAAGGTGGAATCACATGGTTCTACCACTCTTAAATCAGGCTCTGGGCTATAGTATCCTGCAGGTCAGCTGTTCTTATGCCAGTTTCAACTGTATTTGGTTTTTCCTTTGATATTTGGTGATCAGCTGTGGACTCTGTGACCAAGATACTGTTAAATCTTAATAGTAGGAATAAAGCATAGCACAGAGGGGAAAGGGTTTTAATGTGTGTGGTCTGTATGTGTTTACCTTGCTTAAAGCCTGTGATTGTGACCCAAACAAATCTAGTGTCTTATAAGAATCCCCTCTGGTGTCTGCCTTTCTGAGCAATAATTGTAGTGACCTCTGGACATCAATATGCATCTCAATTATTTGTAGTCTTCCTGACCTGCTTGCCCCTGGTATAAGCAAAACAAGCTTAGTTACTTGGCTATAACCTAGAGGTAGAATAGTCACATTTTATGCTGTGAGCATTCTCTTAACCACCCTGTAGTGTTTAATAGGATGCAGCTTATCTTGAACTATTATTTTACTTCCTGCATGTGTTTTCTGACAATCTGCTATTAAACATAGAGCATGCATCACAATCGCAATATCGAATTACTCTCTGTACATTATCACAGAGCAGTCACGTGTCCGTCAGTCATTTTCTGCAAATCTAAGACTGTCACTTTATTTAGTAAAGTATGCTATCACTCTTACACTCTTTTAAAGAAGCTGTTATGTGACCTGTATTTATATTTGTGTTTTTCATAACAGGAAATCATGGTGGGCTCTATGTTTCAAGCTGAAATTCCAGTTGGTATCTGTAAATACAGAGAAAATGAGAAAGGTGAGAGTTGATGCTGTGAAAGTTACTGATTTGTGGAAGTTTCTGTATTAAAGACTTGAAACAATTCATCCTAGAAAAAGACTGAGAACTGTTTATTAACTAATATCACATGATTTGCAAATAAGGCAGTTCCTTCAGGCAGATGTGCCTGTGTTTTGAAACTGTGTATCATACAGTACAGCAAATATCCATATTTTATTCTGTTAATTACAGAAATATAGAATATGGATTTTATTCCTTTATCCAGAATATATTTTAGAAGTAATATGCATTGCTGTATTTCGATTAAATAATAAAATAATATGGTAAAATATGTCTGATACTTAATATCAAATAAGTGCTAAGGGGCAGTGATAAGGTTGACTTATCTAGACTTACCAGTTCCAGATTTGCATGCATAACCTATTCAACCTTAGTCTTCTCGATATTTTTAAAAGACATTTTATTGTCTCTTTTATTTAAAAAAAAAGATACAATCCAGAACTCTGATTATACACCAAAGGCTGTGCCTCAGCCAGACCTTGTAAGGTCAACATTAGGACTTTTGTGCCTTTTCCTTATTGCAGAGGAATAAGGAATTGTGCCTTTGCAGCCTCTGTGCCTACCAGAACAGAGCTCTTACTTCAAGAGACCTTATAAATTCTGCAGAACATTCATGTGTCCCAGGTACTTACCCATGAGGAGCGCAAGAGGTAAACTTGTTGCCTACACTCTAATGTTAAGGTGTGAATGCAGCTCATGTAACTAGCCTAGGGTGCATATAAGAGTTGCCACAAAAACACAGAGCTCAAACTTGGCCAGGACTCTGGGAAAATAGAGTGGTAACAGCAACCTGGAACTCAGTAATGGCTTCACACTCAGTGGTGCACAACCCAGTGTAGAGTGCGTTTCCATGAAATATAGTCACCAAGATAACTCCTGGACAGTTGAAGCTACTCTGGGGGTCTTGTAACCAAAAGAACATGATAGGGGATTTGAGACTCTCAGGATATGGAAACTGAAACTGCAGTTACAGGGGAAGCTCTATGCACCTGCACATAATTACATTGGAAGTTTTTTCATTCATTGGGAAAACCTGTGCATCTAGCTTTCCATACAATCCTAGTTTTAATTTGAGTATATACACAGATTGGTAGGTACCTTTCTATTTCCGCATGCTTGCCTTTCACCACCAAATTCCTTTCTGTGCTTCCTGCAGACCTTGGTATACACACATTAACACAGGTAGCGTACAAGCATGGAGTGGCTTTATAGCCCCGCTTCAGAATCCAGAGCAGTTAGATATATGTACAGATGCATCTTGAATTTAATTTACTTTCATGGCCTTAGCTACAAAAATTCATTGAAAATGAAATGGTTGCTTCTATGAAGTTGTTTTTTCTCTTGTGACTTCTTTAAATGGCAGAACTGTCTTTCTGTTCAAGTTTTAAAGAAATATTAAGCAGAGATTAAGCTTAGAAAATTCTGAAGTATTTGTCTGAAGTTCTAGAAAAATCTGGATTTTAATACAGTTTGAACTGTGCATTTACCTAAGATTCAACAAGTTTTACTGGTAATCTACTGATGATTCACCTGTTCTTACTGGTGTTTACTCTGTTGTAAATGACTCGTGGCCTACTGTAATAAAAATATATAGCTATTTTCTTTCTTTATAAGTCTACAAAAATAATTTTCCATGAACTTGCATCCAATCACTTGTTTTAAAATGGAGAACCTGCGTCATTGGAACCGACTGCTGGGAAGGACAAAGTTAAATTTTCACTAGATTATTATAGGACTGTAGTATAACTTGTACTACTTCATTCCCAATGTATTCCATTTTTCAATGAAATCTTTATGGATGGGTCTCAGATTAGTGTAGTAATGGAAGTAGAGTGAATAAAGTTGACTGAAAGTATGGAAACATAACTTTCTGGTTTTGCTAATGAGGAAATCTTGCTCTTTAGAAAGTTTTATATCTTGGAGTTCTTTTACTGCCTATATGTAAACCTACATTTTAAAAGCAGAATTGCATTGTTGTAAACCTGGAAAATTTATGTGAGCATGGTCATTTAATGACTTCAGTTTTGCAAAAATGTAGTAACAAACACAGTTTTGAGAACATCATTTTGAGAATAAGTTTTCTTTGAAAACCACCTCTGTGGATCCCCCTGTCTGGGTTATGCATGTGAGTGTTACAAGTTAGATTTTGGCAGAGCACCTAAAATGGATTGGGATTGCAAAACCTGGTTTGTTGTCTGTTACATTGGATGGCATGAAAAAGACTGATTTCAGTCTCTTCCATTGGTGGTATAATATTGTTAGTCACCTGTTTCTAGCATACTGAATGGCAGAAACTAGATGCCAAATACAAATATAAGAAATATTATCTATAAAAGATTTTTTTCTCCTTTTATTTTAACTGTTGTTTCTTTGGGGTATTACTCTTCTCTATCCACAAGATATAGTAGTGGGACTTAATTTAGTCTGTTATTGACAGAGGGTAAGAGCAAGGAATGTTGGATGTTGTTCTGAAAAATCAGACTTGAGCTTGCTAAAGAGTTCTGCAGCTGAAGATAGTAAAAAACATGCTACTTTTAGCACTCAGAAGTTTTACTGTGGGCTTTATCAGCTATAAAATGCTGTAAAAAATTGAACTGTGAGTCTGTGTGTTGAATCATATCTGGTACTTTACTTCATTAAATTTTGGTTTATTTTGCTAGCCATGCAGAGCCTGTCTGTATGAAATTAAACTCTATCCTGGTTCAGGTATCAACAGGATTTGTAATAAAGTTTTAGTGACAAAATCTTTATTAGTGACGATGCTTCAGCA